TCATTCCTAGAGAATAAAAAAGGAACATCTCTTGTTAGTTTTCTAAACACTGCCTGCTAGCCAGGGCTGAGTAAACATCATGGGGTAGGGGATAAAACCCGGTGCTTACAGTATCAGAGGAATTCTATGTACCAGCTGGAACATTCCCCACTGTTGGAACCATTTCCAAATGAGAAAGTGAATACACAAAGGGGGGGGGGGTGATCTGTAGAGACTGCTAAAAAGAAAAGGCATAGAATAAACAAACAAACAAACTGGCCACAGCATCTGCCTCCAGGGAGAGGACTAGGAACTGATGCTTGAGGTTAACCTCACAGCTGAGCTCCCTACTTGCTTAAAATTATTCCTGTAATTTTTGTTTAAACCTAAGAGAATAGAATTTTACAACACTATTTAAAAGAAATGACTGTAAACAAGAAAGACTATGAGAACAAACTACACAACCTCAGTGTGCAGTGAGGCAGGACTGTAGGGTAGCGTTGTTTCCTTTCTTCTTTACTAGTTCTTGGATAATGTTGTATAATATGTTTTGATCATATTCACCCCCAACTCCTCCAGACCCACCCTTCCCTACCTATCCAACTGTGTCTTCTTTATTTTTGCTTTAAACCCATCAAGTCAATTTTGTGCTGTCCATATATTCTTGAATGTGTGGCATTCTACTGGATCATAGAAAATGACTACACTTAAAGAAAACTGACTCTCGCCTCTCCCAGTAGCTGTCGATTGCCAATAGCTCCTTAGCCACAGGTGGAAACTCATGCCCACTTCCTTTCCATGCTGGAATTTGGTCTTGCTTAGGCTTGCACAGGTCTTGTGCATGCTCTCACAACTGCTATGAGTTCCTATGTGCCCTGCTGTGTTTGGCAAACACTGTTCCCTCATAGTCATCCTACAGGTCTTTCCATCCTCTTCCTATTTAATGTTCCTTGAGCCTTAGGAGGAGGGATATGATACAGATGTCCCACCTAGTGCTGAGTATCCCACCAGCTCTTATTTTCTGCCCCTTAACCAGTTACCTCATGTTAACTGTCATCTACTGTAAGAAGCTCCCCTGATGAGGGCTGAGGGATATTCTACTCTACAGGTATAACAATAAGTATTAGGAGTTGGTTTAATACTGTCTATAATTTTAGTAGGTTCTTACCTGGAGCATATGACATGTCTAACCACAAGTTCTTGCCCTGTAATAGCTCCAGGTATTGGTTTCATCTTGTGGAGTAGGCCTAAATCCAAATCAGAAAATGATTGGTAACTACCATGACATTCATGCCATTAGTGCACCAGTGGTCATGTCTTGCCAGGCCAACCACTACAGTTTACAAGGTTTTTAACTGGGCAAGACAGAAGATTACTTTTCCCCTGTGGTGGCAAGCATGGCTGGAAGGATATACCAGCACCATGGAAGCTTCTGTGTGAGTACCAGATTTATTTCTCAATGTTCTATGATTCAAGTATGTGGTATCTTCAGCAACAGAGTCTTAACATCAAGTTCTGAAGAGTAGTATTGGCAATAGCCTATAGTGTTTAAGGTCTAAGGAATCTCATCGGTCAACAACTCCAAAAGAGGTAACTAACTGCTGAAACTGAACTTTGTTGGTCTGCAGTGTCAGACTAACAGTGGGGCATTGGTACTCTGTTATAGGGTAGCCCTATTTTAACTTTTTATATGAAAATTTCTACAGTACGTTTCCATAAGACTTTATCACTCCTTATATTCCCTCAACCTCTCTCCCATCCCTCACCCCAATTTAACTCTTCCTGTTTCATAGTTTTTCATCTTTCATGTTGAAGCTCATAAATTCCACTATAACACTGCAATATTATTTTCTTTGTTTGAGATCAGATTTCACTATGTAGTCCTGAGGGGCCTAGAACTCACTATGTAAACCAGACTGGCCTTGAAAGCACAGAGATTTGGCTTCCTCTGCCTCATGAATGCTGCCAATTAAAGATGTGCATTACTACACTTGTTTGTGACACTCTTATTTAACAGAAAAATACACACTGAAGGTACAACAGACTTGCAAACACTGGTGACAGTCAGCCAGCCAGAGTCCTAGAGAACATCCTTCACCTGCTCCTTCAGGAAAGATTTGGTAACTCCCTACCAGCTGCCAAACAGGAGCTATAATGCTCTATTTTATTTTCTGGAACAGGCTGTTGTGAGCTGCTTGATGTGGGTGCTGAGAACTGAACTCAGGTCCTCTGGAAGATTACCAAGTGTCCTAAATACTGAGGCCACCTCTTCAGCCCCTAGACAGATATTTTTAAAAGAACTAAATCATGGGTCACAAGCTTCCCCTTTCCTGCTTTTCAGAAGCCAGCGTTAACATTCCCAAGGAACAGCCCAGCATTCTTCCACTCAGCTAAGAAAATGTAGATCTGGAAAGGGAAGATTTGTTCAAGGTTATATAAGAAGCAGAGGCCTGTCTGTGAGATATCGCCATGATGCAACTGGATCACCATACCAGTTGTAGCAAGGGAGGGCAGTGCCATGGTGTTTGGTCCCCAAAAGTCCCAACCTTCTAAAATTCTTAAGCCTCTGTTTGCTAGGCTTAAGGTGCTCGAGTGGGTGAGACAGCAAGCGTGGAAGCAGCTCTGGGAGACCTACGCAGCGGAAGACTTGGAAGTTTCACATCACTTCCAAGTTGGAGATCCAGATTACATTAGATGTCACCGCACAGAAACCTTGAGACTCGGTGAAAAGGCTCACTTTGCGGCTGGTCCAGAATATGTCCTCCTCTTATGGACCCACCCCCACGTCACTCCAGGTTATAGGACCCAGGGACAGCCTCTTACAACTGCCCATTTTTATTTTTTATTCCTCTCTTGTTGCTTACTGTTGGAAAAATTGTTACTTTTGTTATGAGTGCTGTCCAGATTATGGTGCTTAGATAGCAGTACAGGAGCCTCCAGAGCCAAGAGGAGGCTGCTTCTTAATTTCCATAGTTCTAAGATTCTAAGTTTCTAAGAGAAAAGGGGGGGAATGAAAGACAAAAAAAAGTGAAGTTAATGAAGGACTAACCTGGAAACCAATATCTGTTCCTTGGAATTTGCTAACTTCCTCTCACAAGGCCCTGAGATAACAAGAATTCACACTGCCCCTCCTTTGCTGTGAGTCAGCAGGTGGTGAATAGGGTCCTTAGGAAACAGATAGCTGTAACTCTGGTTTGCCCAGGCAAAATTAATTAGCACACCCTGAGGCCCTAAGGTCTGTTGATCCTAATAGCGAGACCATCCGGCCTCAAAGGGTCACTACTCAATGGACAGAGGGTCCCACCCCCTCCCTAAGCTTGTGGGTTTGCCTTTAAAAACACCTGGGCCAGGGGGAGGGAGCGTCTCTCTAGCCTGCATGCTGGAGGAGCCCGTTTGCACAAATGTTTCCTGTTCATTAAAGCCTCTTGCGTGTTGCAGCAACTGGACTGGACATTGAGTTCTTGGGGTATCGACCAAAATTGGAAGACTCCTCATTCTGAGGGTCTTACAAAATGAAGACAAATGTAAGCCAGCAAGAAGCTTCTGTCCACATAGGGAGAAAGTATTACAGGTCAGATTGGCCAACTGCTAATGAGCTAACACCCAGTACCTAAAGGTCACATGCACAGGGGCCCCATCCTTCCTCCCTCTCTCCCTCTCCCTCCTCCCCTCTCTCTGTCAACACCTAATGAAGGTCTTCATCCTGAAGTCTTCCTTCAGGAATATGGCAGAATCAAGTTGGATGAGAATCCATATCTTAAAGTCCTCACTGGGGCTGGGGTCTAAAGGTCTGCCAACAACTAAACAAGCTTCACTTTCTATTGACCATGGCTCCCCAGGCTGCAGTAGCCTGTTCCAGGACCTCACAGGGAATACCGTGATCTAAAACACCACAAATCTCATTCCAAACTCTCAAGAAAGAGGCCTCTTGTCACCTCTTAACCAGCAATTCCTCTCTGGCTCCTAGAAAATCACTATTAAGCACCGGGATAAATAACTCCCAGGTGTCACAGAGCCAAAAAAGCTGGATTCTTGCTCCGGGTCCTCCTCTTCACCCTCACCATGCTACCGTTTCGATCTTTTTAAGACCAGCACTGAGAATATATGCATGAGCACCCGCTACCAGGAGTCAACAATCCAGAACCCTTACGAGCATCGCACCAACGACTACTCTTGAAGAGCATATTTTCCAACAGCCAATCAGCCAATGAAAGCTAACCACCCCGCAATCCACCCATATCCCTTCAACAGCAACAGGGGAGTTAAAAAAAAAAAAAGAAAAGAAAAGAAAATAGTGCCCCACTTTGGGCTTGGAGTGGCACAGGGAAGCAGCTGGTCTATTAACCAGGGCAGCTACGATCCATTCAGCAAAGACACAGGCAGGCCTGACTCCGCCCCTCCAAGGGGCCACCGTGAGTGCCTCCAGAGCACTCAGAGAAGCCAAAGCCCGGGAAGCCAGAGAAGGCAGCTTTCCCTTCTTCCCAGTGGGTCCCCCTCACCCTCCGCTGCTCCTCACCTGCCGCCAGCTTCCGGACCAGCCAACGATCCTCAGCCCCGCCCCCCGCCCCTACAGGCTTTCCTCAGCCCCGCCCACTGCACCTGTGCTTTTTCCCGACTCCCCTCACAGCCCCCTCCCACTGCTGCTCCAGGCCCCGCCCCCAACACCTGAGCTCTTTCCCCGCCACTACCCTGCACAGGTTCTAGTTCCCTCCCCTGGGACCTGAGCCCGCCCAAGCACCACGCACCGAGCCAAAATCCCGACCCCGGCCCCCTCAGGCTGCGGGCCCCGCCTCCCGCACCTGCGCCCTTTCCCCGTCGCCACCCCCAACACACACACGCAGTCATTCGCGCCCCTGGGACCCGAGCCGGCCATGGTCCCGCCCCTCGAGCCGAGGCCCCGCCCCAGCCCCTCAGGCCTGGGGTCCCGCCCCCCGCACCTGCAGCTGCCCGAGCCCTGGGCCCCGCCCCATCCCGCCCCACTCCGCCCCACCCCGCCCCGCCTCGCCAGCCGCTCCTCTCACCGCCTCTCTCTCACCGCCGCAGTCCCGGCTGGTCACCTTGACGTGGGCCACAGTGGCTGCCGCCGCCTCCTCATGGTCCTGCGAGAGGCCCAGCAGCAGCGGCGCCTTCGTTCGGAGGCCGGGGCCTGGCCACGCCGGGTTGAGGCTAGGCCAGGCGCAAGCTTGAAACGCGGGGCCGACGCGGGAGCCCAGCCGGTGCCCAGCCGCAGTAGGAACGGTCCGCTCCCGGCCTGAACGGCGGGTGTCTCAGCCAATCAGAGTGCAGCACCTTGCCGCGCTCCTCCAACCAGCTTGTCTCAGAGGCGGAGACACGCAAATGAACCGACTGCTAAAGCCAGTGCGCAGCCGCTGCAGCAGTGGTCCCCCACCAGCCTCGGCCTGGGTTTCAGCCTGCAGATGCTCAGGTTTGTAGGGATGCTCAGCTGCCCTCTTTGGCCTCAATCGCCCGCCACGCCCACCCCCTGTCAAGAAATAGCCCTGCGCTTATTCTGCACATATCCTTCCAGGCCTCACACATTGTCCCACTTAAATTCCTACCTAAGAGTTTCTCGTTTTCTACAAACATGGCTTTGTGAGTAAACATCATCACCTTAGCGCCCATTCTTTACAATTCATAGGTAATCACAGTCTAGTCACAAACTCAGAGGTTCTTGGGGCTGATCCATGTATTTCACAGCTGATAAAAGTTAGACCTGAGGAGGGTCTTGCCATGCAAAGCTGAGAGGTGGGCCTGGAAGCTGTCTCCCTGCACCCAGACCCTGTTATGCTGGGTCAGACATATCAGTGAATACAAGTTGAGTCATTAGCTTAAAGGCACAGATGGTAAGTTACAAAGACCATGGAAGCCAGAGGGTGGCTGTGGAGGCCTTAAGGTAGGTCAGGAACCATAGAAAAAATGTTATGCCTAAAGAACATGTAGATAAGATTATCGTTTTTGGATACTTTGAAATTCGTGGTGCTGTGGCATTAGCATATGGAAAGATATAGATACTCTACTATCCAAAGGGAGGGGGAGAAAAACAAGAGTCAGCAGAAATTAAACCACTTCTAAGTGTGGGGTTGTGAATTAGGGGATTATAAAGCAAGTGTCTACTATTTTGCATTAAGAACACAGTAACAATCAAAGAATAGTCTGAACTGTTTCCCTTAAATAAAACAAGAATGCATGATATGCTGGTTCCTTTTGGAGATTCTGAATCCAGAGATGTGCAGGATGAGAACTGAGTGCAAGAACTTCAAGAAGGTTGGGGAGATGGCCCTGGATGTAAGAGTGTTTGGTGATCAGGCATGAAGACCTGAGTTCAAGTGCTCAGAACACACATAAAAAGATGGACATGGTTGTGCAGGTGTCTGTAACCCTAATACTTAGGGTTGGGGGATGGAAGCAGGAAACTTGCTGTGGCTTGCTAGCTGCCGGGTTTAGTGAGAGACCCTGTCTTGAGGGAATAAGACAGAGAGTATAGAGCAGGACACTCAATATCCTTCTCTGACCTCTGCAAGTTCAAGTTCATGAGTGTCCATCACCTACACACATATACACCACACACAAAATAGACACTTATTGTGTTTTTATAAATATTTATAAATTGTTATAAAGCTTAGAGGTACCTGCTGCCTAAGTCCAAGCCTTGGTTGTGTCCGCAGCTAGATGTGTGCACATATGCAAGTTATGTTTGCAGGCCTCAGTTTCTTTATTGCTGAAAGGAGGAGGCTGAAGAGATGGCTCAGCAGTTAACAGTGTGTACTGCTGTGGTTCAGACCCTAGCATTCATATCAGGTGTCTCACAACTACCTATAACTCCATCTCCAGGTAGATCTGTCACTTCTGGTCTCTACCTCCCCAGGTACCTACACTTGTATGCACATACCCACATACAGACCCAGACACACACAAAAATTCTAAAGGTATTTAAAAGGTGATGTACACCTTTAATCCCAGAACTTGGGAGGCAGAGGCAGGCAGATATCAGAGTTTGAGGTCAGCCTAGTGTACAGAACAAGTTCCAGGAAGCCAGGGCTACACAGAAAAACCATGTCTTGAAAAAACAGAGTGGGGAAGAATGAATATCTCTACAATAGCAGGCTCTTCATTTGGGCTGTTGGAAGGGTGGATGGAATATGTGGGAGAGGGCCTGACACCTAACAGGAGCTCGGTGAGCCTTAGCTACTGTTGTGTGCACCTGTGTAACTTCAAGCATGCACAGGCATTAAGCACGGCTTTTGCAGTATGTGCTTGCTTGATGGCATCTTGAGGTTAACCTCGATGTCAATTTGACTGATTTTGAATCACAGAGAGCAACCTCTGAGCATGTCTGTGAAAGACTTCCTAGACTGGGCTAACTGGTGGGAAGACCTGTCCTAAATGTGGGCAATTCTACTCACTAGACTGGGCTCAGACTGAATACAACAGAGAAAGGAAACTGACAGCAGCATTCATCTTGATCTCCTTGACTGTGGATGCAGTGTGACCAACTTGCCCCTTGTTCATGCCACAACTTCCCCACCATGAAGGACTGAACCTTTAAACTGTGGGCCAAAATAAACCCTCCCTTTCCTAAACAATTCTATCAAGTGTTTTGTTGCAGCAAACTCAGTAGCTAATACAGCATCCTTCATTTTGATAATGAAACTGGATAATGAAGGGATAATAAAACCCCCTCAGTGCTGCTCCCAGAGCCAACTCCTGCTTTCTTTGATAGTAACTAGAGTTAAATTTCACACTAACAGGCTGATGATATTACACTTAGCCAAAGAGGTGGAGGAGATATATGCCAAGGTTAACGGAAATAGCCAGTCTGTGCTGGCAGGTGCCAGAGGGTTAACCCCCCAGAACTAGATTTTCAGGGTGTTTTATCAAAAACACACATAGGACTGGGTGACTGGATTTGAGGATATTTCTAATAAGGATCCCAGGAACTCTGGTGATTCTCAGAGAAATAAGGAACATGATAGTCAATTCTCAGAAGAAGCAACTTCTACCGTCTTTCCTATGCCCTGGCAGATGGTAGACATAGGCATGCTGCAATGACATACAGTCAGTCCTACCTATAGATTCTAATTTTGTATCTGTGAACTAGCCTACTCAGAAAAAGTTATCTCTTAACCCAAAAAGGACACTTGTAGACATGTGCAGAATAATGAAAACTGAGTCAACCGAAGTATAAGTTCCCAGCTGAGTTCAAAATGATGGTATGCAAGGCTGGAGAGACAGCTTGGTGGGTAAGAGCCCTGGCTGCTCACACAATAGACCTAACTTTGGTTCCCGGCCCCTACAAAGTATCTCATGACCACGAGCATCTGTAGCTCCAGTTCCAGGTAATCTGACCCTCTCTTTTGGACTCCTGAGCACCAATCACACACATGGTGCACATACATACATGCAGACAAGGCATACATACACATTTAAAACCTTTTTTAATGGCGATCTGCCTTCTTGTCTCAGTTATCAGCAGTAGGTGCCTTTCCTCATTTGTTGATAATCTTTTGTACCTTTGTGCTTTTCTGGTGACTTCATTGTGTCAAGTGGTCCCTAGGCATAATGCTGAAATGCCATTTAGAGTTTGTAAGCATTGCAGTCTGTTAGTTAACTTACTGAGAAAGTAACTGTTATAGAAAACTGTCTATAAATAGATGATTAATAAATATGATTGATTAGATGACTCACATATTGTGGTTGATAGATGATTAATGTAAATTATATTAGATGTGACTGATAGGTAGATAAATAATAGATGATAGCACATATGCCTGATAGATGATAGATAGATAGCTAGGTATTGACATATCAATGAAAGGGTCTTCCCCCCCAAAAAAAAAACACAAAAAAAATAAATAAAATTATCAAGATGCTGGTTGGTTGACAGAAGTGTTATGACCAAAGATTTAAAAGGAACCCAATCCTCTTGGAACAAGAGTTCAGGTTTGTTTTTGTTTTTAAGCGTTCACAACAATAGGACACAACTACTACAAATAATGAGGTAGAGCTACACTTCTCATAGGCAGATCATTAACTAGTAACCTTTCCAACACACAATGCCAGGAAATGTAGTGTTGTTTTCTGAGATGGTTTCTGTGTAGCCCTGGCTGTCATAGAATTAGCTCGCAGACACACTGGCCTCAAACTCACAGAGATCCACCTGCCTCTCTCTGCCTCCTGCATCATGACTGCACAGCTCTCAGACTGACTTTTAAATCCTGTATTATAGAGGAGAGTAAAAAAGAAGGAACATGTTCCTGGCCTGTCAGATAATTCGCTGCAATAGGTGGGAGCATTTGATCTTTAGAAAGAAACTGGTTGTCCTAAAGTCCAGTCCTATAAATCTGTATGCATGCACATGTGTGTAGAGGCCAGAGGCTAACATCAAGCCTCTTCCTCCATCACTTTCTGCCTTACCTTCTGAGGCAGTGTCTCTCATCCAACCAGGAAATCACCAATTTAGCTAGACAAATTCCAGAGTGACAGGGAAAGAGAGTACAAAAGTTCCTCCATCTTATATTCTTGCTGAAGTCATTTTAGGTTTAACTAGAATTTGATCTTCTTGATGGGAAACCCTGTGGAAAATTACCCAACTCTATTCTAGGAACCCATGGTCAAGATACCCAGCTAACTTAGCTTCGGTTAAACTGCTTACTTGCACAAAACTTGTCCCTAAAACTGCTAAGAAAGATAACAGGATGTGGGCTGGATGTTGATGGTGCATGCCTTCAGTCCCAGCACTTGGGAGGCAAAGGCAGATGGATCTCTGTGAATTCGAGGTCAGCCTGATCTACAGAGATAGTTCCAGGACAGGATCCAAAGCAATACAGAGAAAACCAAACCAAAAAAAAAAAAAAAAAAAAAAAAAAAGATAACAGTATGTGAGCTTTGCCTTTAAAAGCCCCTCGCTCTAAATGTTTGGTGCTAAGCTGTGTCATGGTTTGGGAGCTGGTTAGTGGCCCAAAAGGAAAAGCCTGGCATGCCTTATTGCCAGAAGAAACATGTAATAACTGAAGAGGCAACTCTGGATTTTAGGGCTGACAGCCCAAAGAGTTTGAACCATGAGAACCTAGAAGTTCAGAACAGAAGCCCCAGACCTGTGAAAAGAGCACACTGTCCAGCTGATGTTGGTACTGGTATGTGGAGGGCAGGCAGGTGGTGAATCTGGTTCTGGAAATAGAACAAAAATGGGAGCCAGAAACAAGTACACAAGTGTACTTGGGGATGCTAGGAGAAATAGCAGAAAAGTCCCTTGCTGTAGCCAG